TCCCCACCTCCCTCACCATGAACTCCGTTTTTGCGTCGCGGAAGCGCGGGGATGCGCTGAAAGCGCTCGTGGGCGAAAGTCGCACACTCCTTCAACGCGTGAGTGTGAGTGTGTGTGTGTGTGTGGGTGTGTGTGTGTGCTTGCGTGTGTGTGTGTGTTTGTGTGTATGTGTGTGTATGTGTGTGCATGTGTGTGTGTGCGTGTGTGTTTCGGGAGTCATTGTGATGCGGGTCCTGCACTGCCGCCTGCGTGCACCCACCCTTCCATTGCCTCATACCTCCACCACACCATCCTCCAATCCACACCACGCCACGGCAGCGTGCTGACTGCTGCGGAGGAGGCGTGTGCAGCCGCCGTTGCATCGCCAGACCAACCCGACCTCGAGACCATCCACGCCGTGATTGAGGTGACCACACACCACCGCGCTCAAGCGGAAGGGGGCAACGCGCACCAGTGGCGGAGTGACTCCCCTGTTGTGGTGTCATTCGACGCCTGTACAACGCACGCTCAGGCAGTGACCTACACACACACACACATGCACACACACACACACACACATATGCACACACACATGCACACACACATGCACACACACGTGCACACGCTCTGTCATCGCCCTTCATCTCACATCAACAACATCTCCCTCTCTTGCAACAGGTGCTGTCGCTTGTGTCGTTTACGGTGTCCATCGTGCAGGAGTGGATTTCTGGCGATGCTGTGCTGAAGCAGCCGAACGGCGAGCCCGTGCGCGTGAACAAGACCGTTCGCCAAACGGTGTGTATGTTGTGTTGTGTGTATGTTGCTTATGTTGTGCGTGCGTGCGTGTGTGTGTGTATGTTGCTTATGTTTGCGTGCGTGTGCGTGCGTGTGTGTGTGTGTGTGTGGAATTTCATCCGAGTGTGCATTCATTCGCTTGCACGCAGAGGCTTGACGCCGCAATGTGCGTTTGCTTGTCTTTCCTTGTTCACATCCATCCATTCACACCCTTCCATCCACCCCACTGCCCTCCATCGTTTCGGCACAGGTGCGTGCGCTTGCCGAAGCGTTCCACGCTGTTGTTGTGAACAAGGACCAGGCCATGGCGCGGGTGCAGGGTGTGCTGAGCACGGCGGAGGAGGCAGCCAAGACGCCGTCGTACAAGTCGTCGCTCAAGGCATTCCGCGCCGCCTTCAAGTCGTCAAACCACTAACGTGCTTGAGGTTTGCACCGTTTCTCAGTTTTGTGTGTGTGTGTGTGTTGTGTTGTGTGTGTGTGTGTGTGTGATGGAACGTTCAGGGAT